TKAWRWAGTGCTAAATTGTACGGAATCTATTTTATCAGATTAACTGATTTAATATATTGCTCCAACACTATCACTAACAGAGTAGCCAAACAAACAAACAAAAATGTTGGACGGTGTTTTGTGTGATATACCACCCTCTTTGTACAATCATATATAGCACACATTAGAATCTATAGGCAACATCATAGTTGTGTCAATTGTCAGTATTTTGGGATTCAGAATCGTAATTTTAAATTGTTTAATGACTTATGTAGGAAAATGCAGTAACCGTAGAAAAACAGTTCTTGAATTCGCAATAAAAATGCCAAGTCACGGTGCCAACAAATATCACGGTGCTTCAAACGTTTGACGCAATTTGTATTGCTTTTTTATTGTTTTGTTACCGTAAGTTGGACTAGAGCCATCGCTTTTCTCTCAAATGACTCACTTTGGCTGAATTTGTAAACAACTGTGCATGCCATCCTACGCAAAGTCACGTTTAACTCATCACTTCGGGAAATGACGTTGTTTCAATGGATTTAAGAAATCTGAATTCTATTCCCCGTGAAGCCCCAAACCGAGTTCCCATCGCATGAGGGTGCTTTTTTTTATTATGAGTCAGACAGCGTCAAAATCGCCAGAAATTGTCTGAAAGGTAACAAATTCTAGCCCAAAGCAACCTTTCTGATTGACTACAGATAACAATGGCCAAATAGCAGACTAGAATTCGAAAAACCCTTTGAGAATGGTTTGATATCTATTGAACAATCTCAACAAATCTACGAGCACATCTGATATCGGTTCTACAATCACTTTTCAAAAAGCGATTGGTCGAGATTGTTACTCTGATCTGAAATGATAACAGCAAGAAATGATTTTATAAAGTGTCAATTCGTGGGAAATTGCAATTGTTTTTTATTTGCAAATGAAATGCAATTTTTTTCTRGCGGTTGATTAAAAATTAAATTGATTTTTTTTGCGCAGTGSAAGAGAAAAATGTCATTGGATTTAAATTGAGGATAAAAATTAAAGTCAAGGTATATTGGAGAAATTAAGATAAGAAGTTAAAATAGTAGTCAACGAGTGGGGTAGATTTAGAATACAGATGTCTCCTGTGAGAGAAAAGCTGTTTAATGTTCTCAATAACAAAGAGCGCGATGAAGGCTGCTGCACTAATATCGAAAAACATTCCTTTCTATGAAATCTTTCACCCCGGTAACATTGCGGATRCACTTGTTACATACATCACTTTATTCAATCGAGACCTCATCAATTTGAAGAGTTTAAATTTGTTCCAAAGAAGTATTTCAGCGTTTTGAACTGGATATGTAGTTTTAGTGTGTTTTCCCGCCTTTTTAGACAAGCGCATTGACGCGCGCGTCGAAGAAAATGTAAAAAATAGCTTTTCGAATTAAGCATTAAAAAAAACGCACATTGTCAATTTTTTCTGTAGCAGCTGCCCACATTTKTCCTTTAGTCAGTGATTTTTCCCGTGTTTTGAACCAGTTATAATAGAAAAGCAATGGAAGAAGTGCCTTCCTTATTGTATCTATTTCGCTTYTTATAATGACGATTTCACAGCGCACTCGACAAACCTAATATAACTTATAATCAAAAGACAGCTTTCACATGACACATTGTCGAAAATGCGTGAGTCTAGATACATGGCTGAGTGTCCAYGAATCGAGCGAGATAACAGTATTTGTACAAAAATACGATTAAAACTCTGATAAAAATAATTAGGGAAGCAGTGATAAGCAAGTTGAATTTCCGGTATGCCWTGAAACGGACTAGACGGATTAGCTTTTTAGACAGTAATGCCCTATTGAAAAGCCAAATCTCACGCGTTTTGAGTTCAAAACAACTTATTTTCAGTCTTATTATTTCTCTCGCTGTCTTCCTATTTTAATCAACTTGGCATATGGAGGTTGAATGAGCGTTTTYTGCGATGGTACTTAATTGCCCGCGGAAGCAAGCAGTTTAAAAGAAGCTTGATTTTCATCTAAATTAGTYGCGGGAAGCAACATAGTTTGTTAAGCGAATTTGACAATCATTTAAAATACTCGAATTAAAAAKCATATCCAGTTATCATAACGATTTACAAAAAATATGGCACGTCAAATAAAATGTACATGAGCAATCTTTGATACATGACATATATCAAAACACGATACATTGAAAATTCTAATTTGGGAAGGAATATAAATGGTTCAAATTTCCACTGTTCTTGAGCATCTTTCCACGATATAAACATACTGTGACGTCATAATGAAAGAGGACTGTCCATTCCCCACCCCCCACCCCCCGCCCAAAATAGTTATTGATGAGATGTTTGTTACGTTAGTTTTGAGAATAAATGGTAAGCAATATCAAGAGGTCAAGAGTTCATTCACAAAACGCTCTTATAATATAGAGAGTTTAAGCATCACATTTACGGCAAACGGGTAACGGGAGAGCTGAACCAATGACCTAAGAATTTCGTGCCTGAACTTGTGCGTTTGGTAGTCATTTGAAAGAGCGACTTTTCAYGATTATGGCAACCCCAAAATAACCCGCTYTCGCGAAGCAGATCACGTGATCTTTTCTGCCGTTTGCCGTTTGCCGTGAGCGTCATGCTAAACCTCTCTAATATAAATTTTCCTACGACATGTCGATATCGTAGTATTTTGACCCGTGTCTCAACTACAAGATGTAGGTTTCGTACAACTAAGTCGTAGGGKTATTACACGGACGATTTAATTTGGAGCTCATTTGAGTCGTATATGTCAYATGCGACAATCTTACGTCATATACTTTACACGCAATGCATTCTAGGATGTGTAGTATAGATTTCATTAGAAACTGATCCCACAGTGCATTGCAAATCACGTAGATGAGGCAAAAGCAGAAGTACATAACCAGCTTCTGGTTATGTACTTCTGGCAAAAGTCTATTTCTGTTTAACATGACGATGATTGCAATAATTATTATCTTTATAATTTTACAATTATTTTCAATAATTTTGATGAAAACATAAAAAAAACGGGACGATATCAAGTGCTCATACTAAATTTACGCAACAAATGGACTTTGATAGATTCTGGTGGTAAAAATCGACCATAAAAATAAAAGTAAGATTATTTCTAGTGTTAATGTAAAATCAATTTTAAAACGATGCCATGACTGATTGGAAACAAAGAAAGACAGACTACAGTCAAGGTTAGGACTTAAGGAACTGTCCATACAAAGCCGACGAAAATTTTGTATTAGCAAATCAGAGTTATTTTGTTTGGCCGTACAACAGCGAGAAAACACACCACACGTCAGTCACGAAATCTGTTATTGATGCCTAAAACTTTTGAAAAGATCACGGCTATCGTGCAGCGCAGAATCTGATGATCAAGTCACGAAAGCGAGCAAGTTTTTGGACACTGATGCAAAACCTACTCGTCCACCTACTTGGTCTTTAGACTAAGCTGAAGAAAAATCTCCGAACAAGAGTACGCGTGGACGCATGAGTTTTTATATCCGAAAATACAAATTTAAGATAGGATACATACAAAGAAAAATAAAACAAGAACAAAAAGGGAATTATAGCATCAACAACAAAAATGGAAAACAACAACAACAATAACAACAAATGACAACAATAACAAACATCAACAACAAATAACAATAACAAACATCAACAATAGCAACAAACAACAATAACAACACAACAGCAACAAATAACAACAGCAAACAACAACAATAACAACAAACAACAATAACAATAACAACACAACAATAACAACAAACAACAACAACAATAATAACAAAAAGAACAACAAAAAACTACAACAACATCACCAACAATAACAACAACAAAACCAAACCAAAAACGAAACAAAGCAAAAACAACAAAACAAATTAAGCAAAAATAACTGATTATTTTTTTAAAAAGAGCTCCCCATTTTTTCTTGTACATTTGTTAGATCAGTTAGTAGCATATAGAGTGCACGTCACATAAGCATGAAACAATTCTTAATATGTATTGCTAAATAAGGTTTAGTTATCAACTAACTAAGAATTCAACAAAGCATAAACACAATGCCAATTATTTAAATTCCTTTGTAGCATTGTTCTCAATTCTTAGTTAGTTGATAACTAAATCTTATTTAGCACTTCATAGTTAAGAATTGTTTCATGCTTATGTGACTTGCACTCTATATCAGAACCATAGGAAAAACCTGCTGTGCAAATCACCTATAGATMTAACACTGACACGCAAGAGAGCGTACAGTAGGGCTAACGCTGATTGGTCAAACTACTGGATTGTCATTGTTCAATCGCTTCAATGTCTCATCATGACTCCACAAAAACCACTGAGAGTACTTGGTCAATGTAACTAATTGAATTTGATTTCAAACTGATTGCTACACACTGAGTTCCCCACACGCACGACATCTACTCACGCAATGTTATCGAGACTAAATCGTATCTTAGCGTCGGGTTGTCATGGGCCTTTTGCAGGGAAAAGTCACGTGACAAATTCCGCCATCTTGGATCACCAAAAAAAATCMTTCAAAAGTGAATTTTAGAGTGTTTTCACAACAACCGAGAAAAATCTTAAATAGAAACAAAAATAAATACAAATCAATGAGACTTTTTGTCTTCAATTATTTAGTTAAGGTTGCCTTCATGGGTCTTTWGCAGGSAAGAGTAASGTGACAAATTCCGCCATCTTGGATCACGCCRAGGAAAGTGRAAAATGCCTTCACTATAAGTGATTTTTAGAGTGATTTCACAATATCCGAAAAAAATCTTATGAAACAAAAATAAATGCAAATTAGTGARACTTCGTTATCTTTAATTGTGAAGGTAATTTTGCGCAATTAACTAAGTATACAGATTTGATGAGTAATAAATGCCACGCAATCTTTTGAAGGTAAAAATAAGTAAATTTAGAAATATACGGACACTTTAGCGTCCTACATTTTATTCTCCTGTTTTTGTTTTTTATTGCCTGGTTTTAACTTCAAATCACAGTTCACAGAAGCATTTTAGGATTGAAATCGCCTAAAGAAGCGCATATTTCGTTTGAATTTTTTTGTTTTTGTTTTTGGGTTTTATTTTTACCGTTTTTCCATTTTTCACTGATTGAACTGCATTTCAGAGGAACATTAAAAATCACGGTTTTACGCTATAGAAATATGCGGCTCATGGTTGCTTTATCATTTTTACGACTCACATGGTTGATTTTTATCATTTTCACGCCTCAGGGTTAAGTTATTATTAAACGTTTCACGCCTCACATTTAAACTCCATTCACACCCTCTGGCGGTCTGAGCTACAAAAGAGTTTGGCTGCATATCCATCGAAAGGAAATAATTCCACAATTCACTATAATTTGGGTCTACTTTCGCGCTATTCCATTTTATTCTCGGCATGAGACTGCCTTTCAACCGTCAGCTTAACCTTTTAAAGYACTTTTAAAAGCTGGAAATTGACAGCACTTCTGTAATTCATAAAAATCCTACAACATGAAAGGCATTCGATAAATAATTTATTGCCGAGATGATAGTTTTCGCCATGAAGGCGCCCATTAAAGTATACCCCAGTAACCAATTAGCAMAGATAATACTGAAATGGCTGAGCAGTTGGTAAAACAAAATAAAAAAAATCACAACCTTCATAAAATGTTTTCATYAAAGAATATTGAATTTTCTGACGGTATAGATATCGTAGAGATATCTATAGAGATCCGTATTTTATATATCTTCGAATGTTGAAAAGATCTCTTACGAGTGAGAGAGTGAGCGTAGACAGTGAGAGATTTTCAGTACAAGAAGATAAAATTCGTATCTCCAAACAACCATTTAATATTCTGTTTATCACATAATTATCTATGAAAGCAAATTATGTCGTAAAATAACTCTTGTTTACTTCCAATATATATTAGGGAAAACCACGAAACAACTTTACGTAATGGATCGAGAAATAGGTATTGTATAGATAATTATATGATCAAATTTTATATTAGTACAGAAAATAATTCCTCCATATAGTTAGTCTAAAACAACTATAAATTAAAGCCGCCGAATGTAATTGATAAATAACGTGTGGCTTTTGAAATGCCACCTTTCAATGAAAATCCGAGTTTCTGGTAAACACATAGAGCCGCTACGCACTTTGGGAGCTAGTTTCTCTATTAGAATTAACAGCCAATGATCAGCCAATCAGAAGCGAACATTCTCTGTAGGTGTAATATCATGATTTAAAAAATAGATAATGGACAAAGTGCGCACGGAATCGTATATGCAATACAGGATTTGTACTACATTTCCGTCACAAAAACTTTTCAAGCACTATTTTTAACGTTTGAAGTTTCCGGCGTCCATCATGAGTCCGCGTTTCCATGCAGAACTGCAACAGAGTCGAGCAGTTTTCCCCTATTATTCTTAGAGCTTTGTTTTTTCCTATTTTCAAGGGCTTTTCAAGTGTGCTTGAAATCAAGTCTAGGGCTTTTCAAGAAGTAACAAAAACCTAGCTATAGGACAAAAGGAAACATGGTTTTTGAAGGCTCGACTAATTCAATGCAAAGCACTTTTATTCCTCTCTTATACACGGAAATGTACCGTGACGTCGATCATTCTAACAGACCATAATTTTTTGAGTTACTCAATTGAAAACAAGCTGCATTTAGTTGCGCCATTTTTTATCCAAAAAGACGGATTTTAGAGACTGCACTTAGGTGAAAAGTTGAATTAGGAGGGCCCAACGGGTTTCTTGGAGAAGTCACCGTCTCCGAAGATAGAAACCCCCGTTCAAATGGGGTTTCCGTGGGTGTTTAGTGACTCAGTAGCCCCATACAATCAAGTTTAGAGTTGACCCTTTTGTGACGCAATCAAAGATTTTAATAGCAGCAATGCATTGTGGTCAGTATTGAGTACTCAACAATTTCTATATAAATAGCTGTATACAAGCTAAATTTCTCATGTTGTAAAAAATACCATCATTGCCACTTTTCCAAAGTTAGCTGTATAAACAAACCAAGTTACGACATTAGATATGACGTCATTTCTTTTTATTGTGAATTTTTCGTAACGTATGGAAATTACACAGGATGACCAACAAATTATATTTCTACATACAAACGTTTGGCCCAAGTTCTTATTTTACGCCAGTGCCGTCTCGAAACGCCTCACTGTGGCGGTTACGACCCGACGATAGTAATACAATGGGCGCGATTTACAACATTATCAAGAGTGGATTTGAACCTCTATTTAACGGCCATTTTAGGTAAAGGAGCTCGCAATATGGAGGTGTCCACAATCTTTTCAATGTCCCAAGGTATTTACCTAAGTGACCGTGATATTGAGGACTGCAGCCGTCATTAAAAGTTGTAGTCAATTTAAATAGGCACCAATTCCCACTTTTTTTCTCGTACCACAGGTGTTCCAAACTATTAAAAATAACTTGGTCGTCACTCTTTGTCGATTGGTTTCAGTGATTTAGCGACCAGGGGTAAAATGTCGCGGGTTTTCAGTCTCCAGTTYGGGGTAGCCTTGGATTCTGCGCACCAAAGCTCACCATGTCGAGGCTCTGCTTGAGTACATTTTTGTAACACGGCATCTTGCTGHGCCTGTCAATCAATAGGTGGACATGATTGGGTGATTAAATGGTAAAAGTATTCTACTCAAGAATTTTAAATGGGAATATCAGGTATAAACTTAATCAGTACATGATTGCCAGGAAATGCTTTCAGGGTCTAGGCTCCTTCGCAGGCATCACTAAGAATCACGGGCTTCCTGTCCTTTTTGGAATTGTCCTTTCTCGTCACTAGTCCCTAGCGGCCAAGATGCCCGTTACAAAGGAAGCCCAAAGGAGGAAAAAAGAGTTGCCTGGGGAGGAGGAGATTCAGGGCCATGGTCGGTCCACCGGCACTGTGTTGTGCCTTAGAACACATTTCGTAGTTGCTAAGTCAACTAATCTATCATTATATCGTATTATATGAACTTATAATTTAGTGATTCGAGTCCCAGTCCCACTTTTCAAGATGTATGCCTTTCGAGCTTTTGTTTATCTGGGTGATTTGAGAAAATGCGACTACCCAATCAGCGCAAAGCTGACAAGCTTATGTTGTAAACATAACCCCCCGACGGGAGGAATTTGCACAGCAAAACTCGACCCAGTGGAGTAGGCTAACTGGCATTTTATTCTATCCGAAAAATCAAAGCTAAAACGCAAAGAGAAATTGCAAATCTTTATAAAATAGCTTTTATTGAATGTCAATCAAATATTTATCGTTATAGAAATAGAATTTTATCTAGAAAATGAAATAACAAATATTTTTTTCTTTAATACCAAGAGACTCCCCTCCCTGATAAAAATAATTGGTCTGTGTTCTACGCGGGTTCTCCATTGCATGCGAAGCAATGGCCGACTTCACGAAGACCTCAGAAGGTCGTTGAAGCGACGTTCAAGTCCAAAGTATCTTAGGAGGAATCATTGCAAATCCTTTTTCTTAGCTCTTGTTTCCTCTAAGCTTTGAGGTATCCGACAACATCACTGAAAGAGCTAGAGGAGCTTAGCTCCACGTATTCCAATAGAGTTGAAGTGTTTGTTATTTTTGGTAGTGCCAACTGTCGTAGTTCATCCTTTGTCGCATTTTTGGCAATAAGCCGCAAGCGTGCTCGACGATACAACAGGTTGACGTTATGTAACAGGTTGGTAACATATTTGCTAGCTTTGACCTTACAACAAGAGCTAGAACGGTGACTAGGGTTTTTCGTTTAATGCCTTGATAGCGACTGTTTATGTTGAAACGACTCAAAACAAAATTCCATCGTGAATAAAGTTCAACTAAATTCCCTTCTTAAAAACACGTGTGTATTTAAGGTGGAAAATGTTTGGTATGAGCATTCAATTCTTAAAGGCTAAATTCTATAATCATTTTGTTTAGTTTTGTAAATAAATTCAACACGACTTGTACTGTTTATCTGAGTGAATGGAGAGCTGCGGGTTTTCCCTTTCCTTTATTTACACTTTCAAATATGACCGCTTAACAAAAATGCACGGGCTCACTGGCTTACAACCTTGGCGAATTCATATGCAGGCCTGGTCGCAAATCAATCACCCAGATGTTTGAAAAACCTTATTAACCGTATTGTTAATACTATGAATAGGGATATCGTAAGGTTCGACCTTAAAACTAACGGATGGAAACAGATTGCGAATGGAGTTTTGAAGTCACTTCATTTTCCATAAGTGAAAAATCTCAATTGCGACCGCACTGAATGCTGGTAGACCATGGTCCTTTAATTATAAGAATACAAACATCTTTTTCTGGATTAGGTGGCACATAGGAGATGATTTGGTTAGCAAAGTCACATGTTTTGGTCCCTACCTCTGTGCCATGCTGTTGTTCAAATCGATAAAAATATG